GTCCAAAGGGATTGGAAAGGATGGGGGTAGGTAGAGGGATGGGGAGATGAAATTCAGGAAGAGGATGACAGTCTCTTTTCCCCACACGGCGCAGAACATGTACACTGAGGGATAACTATACATAAAGGAGTCCAGTGTTTGTTTACTCTCCCGTGTTCACGTGGGGATTTGTTACGTACTTAAAGATGTTCCTATCAGCCTGACTGTTGTGTTGAGGTAGTGCTACGAGCTGAAAGAAACAACAAACAGTTTGCCTGATCATGCCAACAAGCTGCAGAGCTTGACTGGTTCGCATCAGGGTACACTGATCGCCAGATGTTTTATTTCAAGTCTGATCCAATTTATTAGCGCAAGCTTACATGTGGTTTATACACTGTAGGAATCATCGAGCATCTACACAACCACTTAAGAAATCTGTGCATCTTTCTTTAATCACGGCGGCTTTGTTTACATTTATTAAACAGTTTACAAGTTTCGAAACATCACAACCCAAGTTTATAATTGGAATAAACAACCTCTTAGTGCTTCGGAGCTCATAAACTCTCTAATAAACGTAAACAAAGCCGCCATGATTGAAGCAAGATGTTCAGGTTACGTAAGAAGTTGCGTCAATGCTTGATAATTCCCTGCTGATCCATGGACAGGATCGAGTTGGTCTACGCTAGTCTAGTGTACTCACACACCCCTACCCGAGGCCACACTGCCTTGCCGATCAACGCAATGATATTGGATGTTGTCCAATATATTTTCTCTCTTGAGTTGTGTTCGGTATATGATTTGAACGTCAGCCACCGTCTTGTCTGCAGCATCACACAAGGAACAACATCTTTACGACAGTCCAGCTTTAGGGAGAAGCTTTACTCAAGGCTTTTGGGTCGTGCGCGTATACGCACCTGCTGGACGTCTGGCGAGGTGTGCCAACATGGGCGCTGAGCCAGGACTGCCAATTATATGGGAATTGAACTAGAGTTGCCAACACGATGGTGGAGCCAGGACTGCCAACATGATGGTGGAGCCTGGACTGTCAACATGGACTGTGTGCCAGGACTGCCAACATGGGCATTGAGCCAGGACTGCCAACATGGGCGTTGAGCCAGGACTGCCAATTATATGGGAATTGAACTAGAGTTGCCAACATGATGGTGGACCAGGACTGCCAACATGATGGTGGAGCCAGGACTGCCAACATGATGGTGGAGCCAAGACTGGCAACATGATGGTGGAGCCAAGACTGCCAACATGATGGAGCCAGGACTGCCAACATGATGGTGGAGCCAGGACTGCCAACATGATGGTGGAGCCAGGACTGCCAACATGATGGTGGAGCCAGGACTGCCAACATGATGGTGGAGCCTGGACTGCCAACATGATGGTGGAGCCAGGACTGCCAACATGATGGTGGAGCCAGGACTGCCAACATGATGGTGGAGCCTGGACTGCCAACATGATGATGAAGCCAGGACTGCCAACATGGGCGTTGAGCCAGGACTGCCAACATGGGCATTGAGCCAGGACTGCCAACATGGACTGTGTGCCAGGACTGCCAACATGGGCGTTGAGCCAGGACTGCCAACATGGGCGTTGAGCCAGGACTGCCAACATGGGCGTTGAGCCAGGACTGCCAACATGGGCGTTGAGCCAGTACTGCCAACATGGGCGTTGAGCCAGGACTGTCAACATGGGCGTTGAGCCAAGACTGCCAACATGGGCGTTGTGCCAGGACTGCCAACATAGGCATTGAGCCATGACTGCCAACATGGGCGTTGAGCCAGGACTGCCAACATGGGCATTGAGCCAAGACTGCCTTCATGAGCGTTGAGCCAAGATTGCCAACATCGGCGTAGGACTAGGGGTGCCAATATGGGTGTAGGGCTAAGCTACATACATGGGTATGTACCTAGGGCGTCCAATGCGGACGCAGATTTACGGCTGCCAAGAAAGATGTGGTACAAACAAAAAACTTACAAGACAAAACGTGTACTGAAAACGTTTCATGAAGCGCCTAGAAAATAAAGGTTTGTCCTTGTGTTATCACATATTCTGATATTTAATTAAATTATTTTTTTTGTGCGCTGTCACTCTTTTGTCACACATGGTGTGCGCCTTCGCAAAATCCGTATATACAGAACTTACATAGCAAGTTTGTTCTTATGATTCGAACAAATCTACATATCAGATTTGTTCTTATTGCGTCTTATGATTTGATCATAGCAGTTAAGTAATTGACAGAGAAAAGATATTTATGCTCTAAAACCAAGATGCCCAAGATTGTCCTTCCTTAAACACATGCAGATTAACGCTGGGATGCATATTTCAAGCAGGATGAAGAACTCAGCGGGTCTTGTTAAGGGGGTGTAGCCTATACTGGCATGGCGGTAAGTTTAAGCACAGGATGAGCCAAGCGGCCCAACAAACTCGTCCTTCGGGGTAAAATTAAAATTTAATTGAAGCAAGCGCAGGGACTAAGACGTAGGGTAGAGAAGTGGGAACATTTTGCAGGAAGTGTTGCATATACAAGACAAAGTAATGGGAAGCGTATACTGATAAAGTCAGAACGAGAGCCAACACTTACGTTCTTTTACACTGTTAAATATACATGCACGCAAGAACATCATAAGATGAAAAAAAATTATATTCTTGAGGCTTTACCATTCTAATAAAACATAGTCTGTTGTTAACTTTTTTTGTCGAGATTATCGCGTTAATAGGTATATATCATCTATTATGTCAACCTTCTTTGAAACGAGATCCTTACAGGATAATAATTTGACCATATAACAGTATTGTTATAAGTTACGATGAGTTGAGTTTCACGACCTAAAACTTCATCATGACCACCAATCATGTGTATAAACAACTGCATCGTTCCAAAGCATGAAATAGAAGGGGTGAGTATTGATGATCAGCCGCGTGTCACCTGGGCTGTGTTCGACCAACCTGTCCTCTTAAAAAGAACGTCGCTTTTGGCCGTATGACCGAATTTGGACGTAATTTGAAATTGAAAAAAATATGAAAATAAATTTGGGATTTTTTTTTTCAACAACAGTAAGTTAAGGGTCCTCTGATAGGTTAGGTGGGCAGGAAATTCTTATAAAGTTTCAAAACGTTATGAAAAACGTTAATTTAAAGTGTCCTCTTATAACCTCTGCGCGTACGCCGGACGACTCAAATAGAAAACGGAACAGAACGTCACTTTTGTGAGTGGATTTCATTTCAAATTACGTCCAAATTTGGCCATAGTGCGCATACCAGCCAAAAGTGACGTTCTTTTTAAGAGGACGGGTTGCACTGTCAACCATCCTAGCTCGCGAAGGTTTTCATTATGAAGAACGTATGACATCTGTACAATACTTTTTTTTGTGTAAAATAAAAACTTAGAAAATTTGTACAATTTTCGTTACGACTGTGCTCGTATATTTTGATATATACATATTATCTGCGCTGTCCCCGACATCCCTTCAGCTGGCGAGATACTTGGCAAGCCTCACATGGTACCGTGTACCGGTGCTCCAGCGAGTACTAGTGGTTCTATACACGAGAGCATAAACTCTCGCCCTGTCACTGACAGTGCTCCCTGCAGGACCCAACGCTCTGGGAATGAAGCTCTGCAACAATGTCTAACACTCCGTGCCTAGTGCGCGTCACACCTCCACAGACCACATGGCAGGATCCACATATATTATATATATATATATATATATATATATATATATATATATATATATATATATATATATATATATATATATATATTATATATATATATATATATATATATATATATATATATATATATTATATATATATATATATATATATATATATATATATATATATATATATATATATATATATATATATATATATATATATATATATGTGTGTGTGTGTATATCACGAAAATAAACACGTGATTAAGAATGTGACAATGTCAGACCACGGAGGAAAAATGAAACAGGAAATTTCCTTAAGTACTTTCGTATATTAAATACATCTTCAGAAGGTCCAAACCTTCAGAAGGACCTTCTGAAGATGTATTTAATATACGAAAGTACTTAAGGAAATTTCCTGTTTCATTTTTCCTCCGTGGTCTGATATTGTCATATATATATATATATATATATATATATATATAATATGCGTGTATATTATATATATATATATATATATATATATATATATAATATGCGTGTATTTCCAATATATATATATATATATATATATATATATATATATATATATATATATATATATATATATATATATATATATATATATATATATATATGTCGTACCTAGTAGCCAGAACGCACTTGTCAGCCTACTATGCAAGGCCCGATTTGCCTAATAGGCCAAGTTTTCATGAATTAATTGTTTTTCGACTACCTAACCTACCTAACCTAACCTAACCTAACTTTTTCGGCTACCTAACCTAACCTAACCTATAAAGATAGGTTAGGTTAGGTTTGGTAGGGTTGGTTAGGTTCGGTCATATATCTACGTTAATTTTAACTTCAATAAAAAAAAATTGACCTCATACAAAATGAAATGGGTAGCTTTATCATTTCATAAGAAAAAAAATTGAGAAAATATATTAATTCAGGAAAACTTGGTTTAATAGGCAAATCGGGCCTTGCATAGTAGGGTGAGAAGTGCGTTCTGGCTACTAGGTACGACATATATATATATATATATATATATACATATATATATGCGTGGGTTGTATGGGTTCGAGTCACTTCTGGGGTGTGAGTTTTCAGTTATACATATATATATATATATATAATATGCGTTTATTTCCCTCAAAATCAAACATATTATGTGTAAAAAAAATTCACATTTCGTGTGTGTTAGCATAGGTCTCCAAACTAAAATGTTGTATTTATATTGTATGTAATCCATTGGCTAAACAAATTGCTGTAAGTTCAATTTGAAAATAAATAATAAATGTAAAAATGTTTGTACAGTTGCTAAAATTAATCTCTCAATAAATCATTTACCTGTGCTGGCCCACCTTCCACGTTCTGAGTGTACTGGTATTCCTTTCTCTTCTGTAGGAACTCTCCCTGGCGGGCATCGCGGTTGGGATCGTCTTGTGGTAGAAAACAATCATGGAGTTCTATAACGTATATCCTGTTTGCCGAGACCCACCTCTGCAGGGGGAACACCCACACTCGTCCTCCTGAAGCAGCCTTGTGCACCGTCTTCACAGCTTCCATGGTAATTTCGTCAGTATGCAAGTTGTTCCTGCTGTTGGTGAGCGTCTCCTGTATGTTGTGTATGTTGTTGTTCTGTATCAAAAGTTCTTCAACTTCTATGCGGTCCAAGAACCAAGCGGCGGAGCCTTGCTTAGTCCGCTGGCCGAAAAGAATTTTCGTAACTTTACTCAGCAGCCTGATGTCAGAAAAATTGTCCCTCCACACTTTTACTTTGACAATGGGACCCTGTACACCACAGTCCGCTTTCACGTCTACCGTAGTTGTAGACCCTCGTTCATTATCATTGGTTAACTTTTTATTCGCAGATATTGGCGTAGATGCGCGTCCGTGACTGTCGTAGAGCACCACGTACACGTTGGCGTCCGTACCAGCTCCTCGACGGTCTCCGGTAACTAAGTGAAGACGATACTGAGCGTCCGTACCATCGCACATCACCCCCTTCTTGTCCCTTGACTTCAAGAGTCTCTTGGCAATCCCTTTCATGATTGTAACAGTTCTCTGCGATTAAATAACAGTTACACAGGAAAATTTTCAGATTCCTTAACCACACGAACGTCTTGGAAAACTTCTCTGGCCAAGATCTACGATGCACTGGCGTCAGGAAAGCTTGCGCCACATTTACAAATGCAAACGGTGCTCCAGGAAGCTATCACTAGTCGCATGTGTATTATTCATTTCACTGTATACCATATAAACCACGCGAGTATCACACTTAAGTTACCTGTGTTTCAAATCAACAATAGCACCATCAAGTTTAAGTCAATCTCCTTAGGGAAATGGCTACACGATAATGTAGTTTCCAGGTAATAGACTAAGAACCAGCACAGGCAACTTCCGTCAGTAGTCGCGGGCGGAGAGCGTCTGGTGGTGAGGATTGGGGGACTGGCCTCTACAGTTGCCACTCTAGCTTTTCCAGACTTTTTATCTGGGAATTTACCAGAGGATTCTCACCCGGAACGTTCGGCAAAATATTCACGTATAAGCCGTTTTAATATGCTCGGAAGCCTAATAATGTCGGGGAACCTCGGAGTCTTATGTTATGACTAACGGCGATGCAATTTGAACTGTTCTGGTTGACGGGAAAAATGTGGCTGAAAGGGGAACCATCATACGTATGCAGCAAGTTTAGTAATACTCACGGTACGTTTTAGGCTGGTCGTTTGGATAACGAAACGTTTTCAGAGTTCTAACGTGACGTTAGGCTACGTGACGTTAGGCAATCGTGACGTAACGATTCGTTAGGCTACGTATTTTTGGCATAAACAAAATAACGTGTTTATGCAGCATTTCGTATAGGAACGAGACTGACCAGACAAGGTAATCAAGGGTCGATTGATGTGACACGTCAGTAATGTGTGTGTTCCATAGTATTATACTACAGTGTAGCGGCGGCTACTCATGTCTAGATGCCGTTCAGACAGACACAGGTACTTAGTTCGTCATTGGATTTGTAAACCTTCCCCAATAAAGCTAATTTTTTCTTCTTTATCAGATAATATACAGTACAAAAGTCATGTCTAACCTAACCCAGCCTAACGTAAATAAAGAGTGTTGGAAGGTGTAGTGACAGCTGCCGTGGGTGTTGTAGAGACCAATGGTTTAACACAAATGTGAATTACTTAGCTTCAAGGAAATGTTCAGAGTGTAGTCCAATGGGCTTCTATTGCAGCCCACGTATGTGTGTGTATTCACCTGGTTGTATTCATCTAGTTATGCTTGCGGGGGTTGAGGTCTGTTTTTTCGGTCCGCCTCTCAACTGTTAATCAACCAATTGTTACTTACTATTTTACACACACACACACACACACACACACACACACACACACACACACACACAGGAAGCAGTCCGTAACAGCTGTCGAACTCTCAGGTATCTATTTGCTGCTAGGTAACAGGGGCATCAGGGTGAAAGAAACTCTGCCCGTTTTGTTTCTGCCATCACCAGGGATCGAACTCGGACCCTAGGATTACGAGTCCAGAGCATTGTCCACTCAGCTATCAGGCCCCTGCGCGCGCGTGTGTATTCACCTAGTTGTGCTTGCGGGGGTTGAGCCCTGCTCTTTCGGTCCGCCTCTCAACTGTCAATCAACTGGTGTACAGATTCCTGAGCCTACTGGGCTCTATTATATCTACATTTGAAACTGTGTATGGGGTCAGCCTCCACAACATCACTGCCTAATGCATTCCATCAGTTAACTACCCTGACACTGAAAAAGTTCTTTCTAACGTCCCTGTGGCTCATGTGGGTACTCAGTTTCCACCTGTGTCCCCTTGTTCGCGCGTGTGTGTGTGTGAAATATATATATAGTAGACATAATAGAGGACAAATAAAATTGGTTAGAAAGGCGGGGTCCAAAAGCTAATAGCTCGATTCTGTAGATACAAATAGTAAACAGAGACACACGTCCTCGCGGCCGAGCGGACGGCGCTCGTGGGTGATAGTCCAAAGTGCTCGGATTCGATTACCTGCCGAGGCAGGAACAAATTGACTGTTTCTTCCACCTGACGCTCCTGTTCACCTAACAGTGAATAGATAGCTGGGAGTTAGCTGCTACAGGCTGCATCCTGGTGATGTCTATGTTAGAAATATATGTAGTGGATATGTTAAAGGAAAATAAGTCGGTAGTTTATACCTTAGACAATCAACAGTTACTCACAAATAGGTGAGTACACATCTACCACGACTCCTGCACACGACAGAGTACAAAACCAATTAATAACAAGGGATCAGGGGAAGGAAAATCGTTGCTGACAAACCTAACCTAAATGTTACGACAGTGGCAAGATTAAGGAATGGGTTTAATAGGTAACATATTCCCATGACCATACATTAAAACATTGATTGTAACCATGATATATATGTGCTTCAGCCTACAGTTTAGACCTATTGTCTTGTGTATGACCCTCTGTCCTGCGTGACAGTGAATACCAGCATTATCCTCACTCTAATAAGACTATCATAATCCTCAGATTAGGCAAAATTGTAATTAATTTTGTCAATAAAGATAATAATAATTTGATACACTTCCCGACGGGACACATACAAATGGACAGACACCAGGCTGGGCGGGAATATACCCGGTGAAGATTACATTCTCCCTGGGGAAGCCTATCCGCACGGGACGGAGAGAGGGCGGGCTGTGCATGCTTCTGGTGGTAATTTCTTTACCAAAGTTCCTGAGAGACTGGACATAGCCCTACCTTATGACTGATACTTTCCAGGGACAGGGTTCGTAAAACATTTACGTGTCCATTTGCGAAACATGTGCATCATTCCTCAGTTATGGCGGGTTAGTCTGTATTTATTAAACAGTTTACTAACTTGGAAACGCTGCTAGAACAGGCTGAGAGAGGTATGAGGACAGGCTAAGTGAGCAACGAAGACAGGTTGAGGAGAGAGACTAGGAGGATAGACTGAGTGTGGACGTTCAAGAGGCCGGGGTGAGTACTAATTCTTGTCTTAGTCTGTCACTAAACACTCACCCGGCCACTTACCACACACACACACACACACACACACACACACACACACACACACACACACACACACACACACACACACACACACACACGAACTAGGGGACACAGGTGGAAACTGAGTACCCACATGAGCCACAGGGACGTTAGAAATATATATAATGTGTGTTTGTATATGTATGTTTAAGCGTTTAAGCTGGTCAGAATTGCATTTTACCTTTGTAAACACACATTAATGACATTATGTAAAAACATAACTCAAACACTGTTTATGCAGGGCAGACGAAAATCTGTGTGCGTATATCTTTATTTCTATAATTAGGTTAGATTAGCATTTAAAAAACTACAATTACTGAACTATATGTTTAATGCATCTCTAACCCTGTCCATGGAGGACAAAAGAAAATTTATATATGTGGTTAGCATTGTAAATGTGTGGCCACGTCTGTGGTAGAATAATAATAATAATAATACTAATATAAAATCACCACACACCTTACCACCACCAGCACCACAACACCCTGCCACCACCACAACACCTTACCACCACCAGCACCACAACACCCTGCCACCACCACAACACCCTACCACCACCACAACACCCTGCCACTACCACAACACCCTACCACCACCACAACACACACTCTACCATCACCACACACACCCTGCCACCACAACACACACCCTGCCACCACCACAACACCCTACCACCACCACAACACCCTACCACCACCACAACACCCTACCACCACCGCAACACCCTACCACCACCACAACACCCTGCCACCACAACACCCTGCCACCACCACAACACCCTACCACCACCACAACACCCTACCACCACCACAACACCCTGCCACCACCACAACACACACTCTGCCATCACCACACACACCCTGCCACCACAACACACACCCTGCCACCACCACAACACCCTACCACCACCACAACACCCTACCACCACCACAACACCTTACCACCACCACAACACCCTACTACCACCGCAACACCCTACCACCACCACAACACCCTGTTACAACACCCTGCTACAACACCCTGCCACCACCACAACACTCTGCCACCACCACAACACCATGCCACCACCACAACACTCTGCCACCACCACAACACTCTGTCACCACCACAACACCCTGCCACCACAACACACACCTGCCAATACCACCGAGCAAGCAACTGGTAAGCAACAATGCTTACCAGTTGCAACAAAAGCAACAATGTTGTTACAACACTGCTAATAACATTGTACCAGTGTTAACAGTTAGTTATGTTCACGTTGTAACAGTGTTAACAGTTAGTTATGTTCACGTTGTAACAGTGTTAACAGTTAGTTATGTTCACGTTGTAACAGTGTTAACAGTTAGTTATGTTCACGTTGTAACAGTGTTAACAGTTAGTTGTGGCCACCTTGAGTGTTTGCTGGGAATAAAACCTAGCAAAGACAGGAACGTGGGTGGAGGCACTGGTCGTGTTGGCCACTCTAGCAAACAAGATTAACGATAACAACATCCTCCTGTGGAATGTTGTTGACTCTCTTAAGGTAGCCAAATGCCTCGTCATCTAATTAGTGACGCGCATGAATGGATTAACGAGATTCCCACTGTCCCTATCTATTATACAACAATCCTCCTCTCCGGCTAGATCATTCCCATTGTTCACTAGTGTTTTCACTAGAGAATACCACAACACACACCTTACATTCCTGTAGCTTAGCTGGATTTCTAGTCCCTGTTAGAACTAGAAACCTGCTCTGGTTTAGCGCTCTGGTCGAGGACCGGGCCGCGGGGACGCCTAGCCCCAAAATCATCTCAAGATAACCTCAAGATATGCATGTCCTTTCTCTTGTCCATGGTACTGATGCTGAAGTAAAGCTTAACTCTAAGGACGCAGCTAACCTATACGTTTTCTTTGATTATGTTCCGTGCTTCTCTATATATGAATTGCAAATTGAGGCTATATATATATATATCTTCTAATACTAGTTAAATAAAGTTAGTGTTCAACGTCAGTAAGACTTTCTGGTCCTTGTTGCTTGAGGTTACATTAATGTTCACTAGCGTTGCATATCCTGCTGGTGTTAACCTGTTAATGTGTGTCCCCGATGACAGAGTTGGAGTTATGTTTAGTGCTAGACCTTTGTACCTTTTCTGACTGAAGCAAATGTTGTCCCTGATGACTCCGTCCTCGATCCTCACACACATGAGCTCATGAGCATGAGCTCATGTTAAACTGTCATATGCCCAACCAGCTCTCTACTTTCTCCCAGTCGCTCTGGAACATCCTGTCTTCTCAGGTAGGAATACTTTCATCAGTTTTACACCGCCAGGAAACACTGACATGTAGGATCTTATGATAACAGAGTTTTGGTTTGGAGCCGGTCGGTCGAGCGGACAGCACGCTGGACTTGTGATCCTGAGTTCGATCCCAGGCGCCGGCGAGAAACAATGGGCAGAGTTTCTTTCACCCTATGCCCCTGTTACCTAGCAGTAAAATAGGTACCTGGGTGTTAGTCAGCTGTCACGGGCTGCTTCCTGGGGGTGGAGGCCTGGTCGAGGACCGGGCCGCGGGGACACTAAAAGCCCCGAAATCATCTCAAGATAAC